TGCTCCCGAGAACGGACAAAAAACTTGTGTAGAGCTTGGTATGGAGAGCTGAACCTCCATTTTTCTAGACGTCAGTTGGAACACCATTAACCTCGGCGACTTTACCACTCTACAGGTGTTCTATCTTGCAGTTCTATAGTCTCATCATCTGCAGTTTTCACTGGTGGTTGTGCAATGCGAAACTTGTAGGGTCACGAACAGTGCGTTTACACTGTAGTTGGCGCTGAAGAGGGTGTGGAAGTGTGCAGACCAGCGCCTTAAGATAGATTTCTTATAAGTGAGAGCTTCTTCCCATCTGCCCTCCGTATGAGGCTCTTCATGTGGTAAGCGTGGCCCGTACACAGGGTTAGGGTTCCCACGATAGTCGCCCAAGCGTGCACATAGTGTGTATCACCCAAGCGTGCGCTGTCCCAGGCTGAACCACCACACTCCTGGATTACCCGCACCATTCGTTGTATGGTCCTGCAAGCATGGCGGAAGGCTTTAGCTTATTTCTTCATTTGTTTGACCAAGCGTGTCAAGATTATGTTTGTAATACGAATCGCAAATTAGTTAGGTATCCCTGACCCGCGTAGCCCCGCGGGGGCTGGGAACTGTTTCGAAAACATTACGGATTGGGAGAAAAAAGAGCATGGCGAGGGAGTTTTGTAATTGAGAGTGACGGTGAAAATATTTTTTAGAAAGCAGTTCCGACTCGTCAGAATATTGTCTGAAAAAGTATTTCTGACAGTGGACATAGTTTGTAAATCTCTTCTTTGCTAGCAATTCTTGAAATCAAGGTCGTTCCCTTAAAAACAGTGCTTGTTCTTGTTGTTTGCAGGATCTGTCGGGAGAGTAGAGGCGGATACACTGAGGAGGGTAGCGTGTTGATTGTCTCGTAGTTGGAGACGCATAGAGATGAGGAAATATGTTAAAAATGCACCCATTTTGTAAAATCACGTGAAGATTTCTTCATGTATTCACGTGATTCGCCCTTTGAAAATGGCCGCAAATCATCTAATCCAGTTCAGAAACTACTTTCTCGAGCAATTGTCTCTTTTTGTCATTGTTCAGGCCCATGGACTTGTTACAAGAAGACAGAAAACTCTTTAATAGCAATCATTCAATTGCACAGTCAAATATAACGGTCGCCGTCATAAACACTGTGGACTGATCAGCGATTTTTAGCCTTCTCGTTAAACTTAACATTAAGAAATTTCTAGGTAAAAGATCTAGTTATGTTCTTACACTGCACATCAATGACCACCACTGCAGAGTCCTCTCCACAAGTGTTGTTTGCAGTACACCTGTATTCTCCAGCTTGAGCTCGGCTGGTGTTAGTGATGTTCAATGGGTTTCCCGTAATATGCTCACCAGTCGTGACTTTTGACCAATATATAGTTGGATCAGGAATACCTGCAGTCNGTATTCTCCAGCTTGAGCTCGGCTGGTGTTAGTGATGTTCAATGGGTTTCCCGTAATATGCTCACCAGTCGTGACTTTTGACCAATATATAGTTGGATCAGGAATACCTGCAGTCACATTACAGTACACTTCAACGTTATCACCTTCTTTGACGACTTTATTTTCGAACTGCTCCACAGATGCCGGGACTGAAAAATACAATCAAATGTAGATCTCTTATGCATGTCCTTCGCATGGAATCATACATACTTAGGTGGGTGCTTCACTATAAAAACGAAGATTGATTAGCAGACTTTCTGAGACAATCTGAATTTTTTATCTTCCAGATGATGTAGATATGAAAGGTTGTCTCTTGACGCTGCAGCAGGTAAATCCTACCCTACATCTCAAACCTCCCTCGATCTTCTTCCGACTCCCGGCTTGATTATACATGGTAACCTTTTTATCGCTCATTGAATACTTGAAATACATGTAGATTTTTGCCATGAAAATGCAACATAGTTGAATAAATTCAAACTTACCATCAACAGCCAAGACAGTATTTCCACTTTTTCCAATCCCTTGGATAGAATTATTCGCCTCGCATCTGAACACAAACTGGCCAGAAGTTTCCATCGTTTTCATCCAGGTTCCTGATATTTCCATATTCTTAATCATGGTGTCATTTTCAAACAACAAATAAGTGTGTACTGCTGGGTTGGCTTCAGCACTGCAGGTGAAGTTTATTACAACTCCTGTACACACTTTGCTTGTTGTATTTGTTGTTAAGCGGACATTTTCAGGTAGATCTACAAGAAAGATAGCCAAGAAATCAAACAATAATAATTAACATTGATTTTCGTTTTTACCATTATCTACTTAAACGACACGGTAAGTTTTTGTCGAGGAACTGGCGGCCCAGGAAATTTGATGTTCTTAAAACAAATATTTTCCAGAGAAGTGACGCTACCAGGGCAAATATGCTATTTTTAAGAGCAGCAAACCTTCAATAGGGCAACTACCAGACCGATAGTTCCGAGACAGAAATATGTTCTTACACTGAACATTAATGCTTGTCACTGTAGACTTCTGTCCGCAAGTGTTGTTTGCAGTGCACCTGTATTCTCCAGCTTGAGCTCTGGTGATGTTAGTGATGTTCAGTAAATTTCCATCAGTGGGGTTATAACCACCACCCTTAACTTTTGTCCAGATAACAGTTGGATCAGGAATGCCAGCAGTAATATTACAGTACACTTGCACATTGTCACCTTCCTGGACAACTTTATTCTCTGCTTCTTCCATAGCTAGTGGAACTGGAAACAGAAATGAAAAGTCACTTAAACTAAAAGGGTTTTCTTTTTAACATAACTAGATGAACGCACAGAAATTTTAAGCTTATTAGCTGGGGAAAAGATATCTCAAGGACCTCCAGATTGTAACATTTATTTAGTTTCCACTGTGATGACTGAATTGTGTAGATTAAAACCTTTATTGTGACCGGCCAACTTTAGTGCGTGGAAAATCTTGTTACAACACTAAACAATATTGACACAGTTTCTGTACAAAAAGTAGAGGCTTCTAGAAATCCCTCTGATGTACTCCTGTATTCTATTTTGCCTACACGAACTACCGATGAAAATGATTGTTTCAATTTGTTATGGTCAACTTAGTGCTTAGACATGACAAGACCAGTTTAACGAGGCGCATTACAAATGCTGTAAAAGGTGAATGTATAACAGATTTTGTTGAATTACTATTTATCAGAATTCATTCTCTTACCATTCACAGTCAAAGTGATACTGTTCCTGCTTGTTACATTTCCTACAAGTTGATATGCTATGCAAGTGAAAACAGACTTTCCTCCTCTTGATATCTTCTTTATCCATGATCCACTCTTACTAAAACTGAATCCCTCTTCATCATCAGAAAGCAGATAGCTATAAACTGGTGGATTGGCTTCAGATGCGATGCACGTGAAATTCACCCACAAATCAGAACAGTCTTTGTTCTCCGTTGTGTTAGATACTATGGTAACATTATCAGGCTCATCTACAGGAAAGGATGATCTTGTGTTACATGTAAATGTCAGACGTAAGTGTTTCATTTCCACAGTATAACAACTTCAACTAAATGAAGGTCACCAGAATTATTTTGAAGTTAAAATCATAAACAGCTAGGCCAGTGTTGTTTGTCTGTTTCCAGCTTGCTGCTGAAACCAGTGGTGAATAAAATCAGGGTGATGTTTGAATATCACTGAGCAGATACTTCTTTCCACAAGATGAAACGGTTAATTTTTTTTTTTTTTTTGCGCATATAACCGCCGTCATGCCACATACCTCACAGAGCATGTAGACACAACATAGTTAAAAGTGATTATGACAGGATGTTAAAATTCTGATTGGTGTAACTCAGCAGAATATAACAGGACATACTGACGACTTTAGCAAGTGAAACAAAATACAATCTTCTTCAGAAGCTCTTGTGATATGTCATTGTTAGGGTTTTTCCCATTTCAGTTAATTTATGTTACCGTTATGTCATGTCAGCTGGCTGCCTGTGTCTTGACCGGAAAATGCATCCAGGTGGTTTTCAGACTGACTGATGTCGGTGATGGCAAGCTGGTCTGCGCACAATACGCATTTCCAGGCTTCGGAGTATTTACCTACTCTGGCTTTAAAGTCGCCTCGAACAATGAGATTGTCGTTATCTTTGCTGGGACGTTCTACTGAAGCTGCAGATCGGGCTAAATCCTTTCCTTATCTAAACGATCTTCCGGGAGAGCAGGGACGTATACATTAAAGAGCGTGGCGTGTTGATGATCTCGTAGTTGGAGACGCATAGAGATGAGGTAATATGTTGAAAATAAACCCATTTTGTGAAAACCACGAGAAGTTGCTTCCTGTATTCAAATGATGCGTACTTTAGAAATTGCTCGGGATCATCTTAGCTCATCTTCTCCAGTTCTGAAACTACTTCCTCTTGTAATTTTATCTTTCTTTCATTGCTTAGGTCTATGGACTTATTAGAACGTGAAAAAATATCTTTTTTTATGGCAATCATTCAAATGCACTGCCAAATATAACGGTTGCCCTAATAAACATTTTGGCCTGATCAGCACTTTCAGTCTTGTCCATAATATTCGCTGTGATTTTAAAAATAATTTTTATTTACAAGGCTAAAAGAGTTAAAAAGTAAAAAGCACCGAACGTTTTCGACACTAGGTCATTTCAGGGTAAGTAAAGACCGCCCGCTAATTGTGTATTCAATATATCAGTTACGTAATTCCTGATTTATCTCCTGCCATTGCAACTATCTTCATGACTAAATTGGAATCAGATGTTGTCCGACCCTTTAACCCACCATTCTATGATCGGTATGTTGATGATTGTTTCTCCAAAAAGAAGAAAGATAAGCCCGATGATCTACTTGAACTTCTTAACAATTACCATCCTAACATTGTTTTTACTGTCGAAGAAAATCCCGACCATTTTCTTGACACTTCTTTCACTTAAGACAACCAATACGACTGCAAAATCTACAAGAAACCGGGAAAACTACTTACGCATTGGAAGTCGGAAATTCCTACAAAATAGAAAAGAAATTACATCACTGGCGTCCTCCAGAGAGCCAAACGTATCTCTTCTCATTTTAACAACGAAATCAAAACAATTGAAAAAATAACTGCTGGATACGCTAACAGTGAACAGTTTCCTGAACGATTCGCCTGTAAACGATGTTATATTCCCAGTTTCCTCTTTGAAGAACGCAAGAAAGTTTTCATTAAGCCCCCTTACTGTAATGAGAACGAAAACCTTAGTAAAACTTTCATTTCCAAACTTCACGAATTCCAAGTACATTTCCATTATCCTGTGGCAACAAGAAAAATCAGAAGCCTTTTCAACCTTAAAGTAAAATACACTCACAGATCAAACGCAGTCTACAAAGGAGACTGTTCTTGCGGTGACAGCTACATTGGTGAGGCCAAGAGGAATGTGCAAGTGCAATTTGATGAACACACTAACAGTCGTAGCCATTTTGAGATACGTGTGAATTCTTCGCATTCTTTTAGCTGGCGCATACTTTGCACGGCTAAATACATTACAAAGCGTAAATAATCGAAGGCCTGTACGGGTCCGCAAATGATCCCCAAATTGGACCGCAAATGATCCCGGAACGGAAATGATTCCCATATTGGACCGCAAATGATCCCGATCAAAAAATAAGGAATGGCATGGATGGTGGGATGGTGTGGACAGGGAATTGGCGTACGTGAATACCGATGTTTTTATTAAAGCCATCTTATAATTATAATGGCTTACAACTTGATTTTTTTTGCATACTTTCGACTAAA